ATCAAAACACATTAACGGAAACTCAAACTCAGCCACACACCACAACGCAAATCCACCCCCATCTGGCACGGCTTGGCGCGGGCGGTGGCGCGGGCGGTTAAGCGGCAGGCACAAAAAAATGATGAGATTGGAGAGGAACATCTTTTAGCTTTAATTCTAAAGGAAGGTGAATTAGATCAACAGGAATGCAAAAAAAGACTGAAAGAGTACTGCAAAAACTTAAGAAGTATAAATCCTAAATTAGATAAAGTGGATCAAAAATTACAAAAAGTGTGTAAAGAAGATAGAACAGCTGAAGAAAAGTGCACAGGATTAAAAGACAAAGTCACTCAAAAATGCAATGATTTTAAAAATAAACTTCAAATAGCAGCTGTAAAAGAAATTTCAAAACTGACAGATGGCGATTGTAAAGAGAATGAACGACAATGTCTATTTTTGGAGGGAGCATGTCCAACAAAACTTAAAGATAACTGCAATACTTTGAGAAATAAGTGCTATCAAAAGAAGCGTGATAAAGTGGCGGAAGATGCTCTTTTAAGAGCAGTTCGCGGAAGTTTAACTAGTGAAGTTACATGTCAAGGAAGGCTCAAAGAGGTTTGCATAGAGTTAAGTCAAGAAAGTGATGAATTAACAAAGCTTTGTCTTTACCAAGAAACAACATGTAGCAAATTTGTATCAGGAAAAAAAGGAAAATGTGATACTCTTGAAAAAGATGTTAAAGCAGTACTTGAAAAGAAGAATGAATTGCGAGGAAAATGTCTACCATTACTTGAGCAATGTTATTTTCACAGAGGGAACTGCGAAGGAGACAAATCAAAATGCAATGAACCTACTAATCAAGGCTGCAAAGAATATATACCAGATTGCGATAAACTAGAAGAAGAATGTGAAAAACAAAATATCATTTACATACATCCGGGACCTGATTTCGATCCAACTAAGCCAGAGCCTACAGTAGCAGAGGACATAGGGCTGGAAGAGCTTTATAAAGAGGCTGAGAAGGATGGAATTTTTATTGGAAAGAATCATCTAAGAGATGCAACGGCTTTGTTGGCGTTGCTTAATAAAAACCTTGAGAAACAAGAATGTATAAAAACCCTTCAAAAAAGCTGCAAAAACCCTCATGAACATGAAGCCTTGGAAAAACTATGTAAGGATAATACTTTAAGTGATTACGGAAAAGAAAAATGTGAAGAATTGAAAAACGATGTTAACAAAACTTGCAAAATTCTCACTTCAAAAGTCATTGATAATCGTCTTTTTGATCCAGTAAATTCTAAAGTTGTTGGATGGGGCAAGTTGCCAACATTTCTTAGTGATGAAGAGTGTGCAAGACTAGAATCTTATTGCTTTTATTTTAAAGAAAGATGTCCAGATGTCAAAGAAGCTTGTATGAATGTGAGGGCAGCGTGTTATAAGAGAGGGCTTGATGCACGAGCAAATGATGTATTGCAAGAAAATATGCGTGGATTATTGCGTGGTTCAAATAAAACCTGGCTTAAAGACTTTCAACAAAAATTGATAAAAGTATGTGAGGAACTGAAAGAAGGAAATAAAGGAAGTTTCCCAAACGATGAAATATTTGTTCTGTGTGTACAGCCAGCAAAAGCAGCTCGGTTGCTTACACATGACCATCAAATGAGGGTTATCTTTTTACGACAACAATTGGATCAAAAGCGAGATTTTCCAACAGATAAAGACTGCAAAGAATTGGGAAGAAAATGTGAAGCTTTAGGGAAGGATTCAAATCAGAGTCAATGGCCATGTCATACGCTAAAACAACAGTGTGACCGCTTAGGGACTACAGAAATTTTGAAGCAGGTTTTATTGGATGAACACAAGGATACTTTGAAAACTCATGAAAACTGTGTAACATATTTAAAGGAAAAGTGTAATAAATGGTCTAGAAGAGGCGATGACCGTTTCTCTTTTGTATGTGTCTTCCAAAACGCTACATGTGAGCTGATGGTAAAAGACGTGAAAGACAGGTGTGAAGTATTCAAAAAAAATATAGAGGTTGCAGAGATCGTTGATTTTCTTAAAAATAACACAAATAACATAACAACACTGGAAAGAAACTGTCCCTCTTGGCATACGTATTGCAATAGATTTTCGCCTAATTGTCCAGATCTTACGAAAGAGGATAGTTGTACAAAAGTCAAGAAACATTGTGAGCCGTTCTATAAAAGAAAGGCCTTGGAAGATGCTCTCAAAGTAGAGCTTCGAGGAAATTTAAACAAAAATAAATGCGAATCAGCATTAAAAGGATATTGTACACAATTAGGAAAATTAAATAATGAATCTATCAGAAGTTTATGTAAAGATAACACCAAGAATAACCTTAAAAAGAATGATGAAGATGTTAGGAAGGAACTCTGTGAGAAATTAGTAAAAGAAGTGGAAGAACAGTGCAAAGCATTACCAACAGAACTAGAACAACCGACAAAAGAGTTAGAAGAAGATTCTAAGACATATGAGGAACTTAAGAAACAGGCAAAGGACTCAATGAACAAGTCCAATCTTGTTTTATCATTCGTTAAGAAAAACGGAAGTAATACATCGAAAAATAATAGTAAGAGCAAGGATAAGAATGCCGTTTCAAACGGACTTCAAGATACCACAGAACATGTGAAAATACTACGGAGAGGAGTTAAGGATGTATCCGTAACAGAATCGGAAGCTAAGGCATTTGATTTGGCAGCAGAAGTATTTGGAAGATATGTAGATTTGAAGGAAAAATGTGAGAAATTGACCTCGGATTGTGGGATCAAGAAAGATTGCAAAGCCTTAGAAAATGTGTGTGAAAAGATACAAGGAGTATGTTCGAAACTAAAACCACTGAAAGTGAAGCCGCACGAAATAGTCACAGAAAGCACAACAACGACCACGACGACAACAACAACCGTTACCAATCCGAAGGCAACAGAATGCAAATCCTTACAGACAACAGACACATGGGTTACACAGACATCGACACACACGAGTACATCTACCATCACATCTACGATTACATCAAAAATAACACTCACATCAACGAGGCGGTGCAAACCAACCAAGTGTACGACAGGGGATGATGCAGAAGACGTGAAGCCAAGTGAAGGCTTGAGGGTGAGCGGGTGGAATGTGATGAGGGGGGTGATAGTAGCAATGGTTATTTCGTTCATGATTTAGAAAGCAAATGAGCAGGATTTAATGATGAGCATGTATATTTACTAGATGAGCAAGCAGGGTAGGAGAGGAAAGAGTAAGGTAGATTGAGTCATCTCTTCAGCATCAATTGAAAGTGCATTACACATGAAATCAC